GTTTTAGGAATTCTGTTCCTGCATTTCTTAACTTTTGGAGTCATACAGTTTTAAATAGCTGCTTTCTTATTCCCTCATAAGAGTTTTCAGAAACTTTCCTTCCTACTTAAAACGCAATTTCAAAGTTGACTGTTTTTTTTACTATTTCAACAAATATAGTCATCATATTGACAAAACTTTTCATACTCAGTACTTGCAAAAATTAACATACTGCTTGGAAATGAAGTTTAAATTACAACTGAAGAGAAAACTCACTCATTAAAAAACTTGCATTAAGCATCTATTACTTGCCTATCAGTCTCCTAAGACTCTTTTCATTTAATTGGGGCCAAGTTTATACAGTTCCAGAAAAAAACATCTATACCTATTTTAGGGAGACAGAAGCAATTTTAGCTGTTTCTTTTTTGGGAGTTATTATAATGAATTATGCCCAGGTTTCATTTTGTCATAAGAAATTTTTTCACTAGTTAACAATAATAGACCCTTAACCAAGGGAAGAGGAGTTTGGACAGGAGGAGATAGAAAATACAATATGGAGTCCAAGAGATCTAGAATACCACAGTTCAAAATGACTCAGTTCAATTAATTTAAAAATTCTGTTTTTCTTAATTAAGCAACAATGATAGTGAGCATCAAGATTGAATGCTCCCAAGAATTTTATAAGTAATCTTATCTAATTTGAGGATATACATTATCCAAAATAAAAATGGTGCAGGTTATCATTATAAAAGAGCATCTTAGACTGTAATATAAAAAACAGTACATTCATTTGGATAGAAGTAGTCTCAAAGGAGCTCTATGCACATTAAATATTAAAAAGCGAGGCTACGTTTCTTTAGCCTGTAGAGAGGCAAAACAGCAAGCATTTCCCTTTCCCATCTGGCTCTGCCTGTATTTTCAGAATCTGAAAATACACCTCCCTATTGAGCTCTCATTTTAAACACAAATGAGCTAATTGTGATTTTTCTCCTAAAGAAGCTAGATTGTTCTTAGTATACCTTTTCTAGCACATTCTATCTGGAAGTTTCTCTTGCAACTGCAGAATGCTCCAGATCTCTATGAAGTATTTTCTAATGTCTCAACAGTTAATAATTTTCATATACATACCTTCACTTAGAATATACATACATCTTCTTAGGTACCCTGGTGGCTCCATGTGACAGGGACTACATTGTATTCATTTGGAGTAGATGTTTCTTTAGCATATGAACAACTACTGGGCATATAGTAGGTGCCTTAGTTACTGTTCCAAGCAGGAAAATCACAGCTTTCCTAGGGGTGGAACCTGGGCTTCACTCTCTATTGTCCTGTACAACAGGACATATGCTCATCAACTGTCCTTTCTTAATGCTTTTAATTAGTTTTGAAACCATTAAAATTGTGGTTCTCACCTTCCCTTTTATCAGTCAAAGTTCCTAATCAATGCTACCTTGTCTACTCAATTTTGTATGCCATCTCTAGTGAGTAGTATATACTACATTGATCTCTGTGAAGAAATTTGCTTTTGCTCTCTTGATTTTACAGCTTTTAAAGCAAAAGGTATGCTTTTTTAAAATCTCTAAAGCATTAATTTTAGCCTTTTTCTCTGACTTCATAGTTAATCTTATTTTTAAAATTTCACAGAATGTGGTTCTGCCACAATTCAAAAAATGCTTTGAAAACAAAAGAATATTTAGTAAAGTCAACTATGTATCCAAACCAACCATTTCCTTTTTACAAGTAAGTTATAAGATAGAAGGTATTTTGTAGCTTCTGACTGAGAAACAAGAACTTAAGAGATGCATAATTTTGGATATAAAAATTACTAGACAGTCATGGTTGCACATGTGCACATTTTCCATTGTTATTCTTTTGTAATATTTGTTGCATTGGACCAACCAAAAATGCTGATGTTTTACCATCACTTCTCCTTAGCTTGAAAATTGGCTTCTTCTCCCTCTACTTTCTTTTGTGGCAATGCAAACACTAAAGTTGTGAAAATTATCAAGTACCTCCTAATTGAATTAAAAACAGACTAATCACAGAAAAATTATGTCATTTGTATTAAAACATTATACTCTTAGATTTCTCTTTCCATTACACCTAAAGAACCATTGTTTTTATTCAAACTAAAAGTAGATTGTAATTTTATGCTTATAAATGATGTTTCATACACAAGTGTACTGGGTGAAAATAGAAAGTGTGATTTGATTTTTAAAATTAATACCATATTCCAAAATACCACTGTATTACCTTGTTAAATATTCTTGAGATCCTGTTCATGTGTTCAAGAGCTTCATAATATTTACAAAATTGGAATGGAAACAGGGAATGTTTTATTAGAGCCGCTTTTCTTTAAAGTGTCTGGGCATCTGGCTGCAGTATTTGCAGCTTAATTTCTCTGAATATTATGTGCAACTTAATAGTCTCTCTACCTAAACACAAATCTGAAAAGTGTCTCTTTGCCTTTAACTTTTATTTCAGCATGGATTTTTTTAGATGCAAAGATACAGTCTTAGCAAGAAAAACAGATCTTCATCAACATTTGCTTTTGAAACAGACCTAAGAAAGTTAGATAATTCTAAATTTATAATAGAAATATGTTATAGGCTTTGCTATTCTATATTTCATTTAAGAAACTTTCCCATCTCCTTGTTCTTAACATAAAGATAGTTGTTTGTCTAGGAACTTCTAAGAGATCCACAAACAGGGCAAAGAAAGAAATGCCTGTGCTCATTCTTTGCCTTATGGGTGGCTCCATTTAATAGCAACTTTTGCAAAGTTTGGGGGGATTTTGTATTCTGTCTTTTGACTTCTCCACTTCTTTCTCCTCTTCCATGTTCTTATTCTTCCTCTTCCAAATTAAGTCTTCTTTGCCATAAAAATACAAGGTGTATTGGGATGAATAGATGAATAGATAGATAGATAGACAGAAGTGTGATAAATCAAATATAGTGAGTTGTTAATGGTAGAATGGTGGAAGGTATAGAGGCTATCATGGTTTGGATATTATTTGCCCTCCCCAACCCCAAATCCTACCACCAAAGATTCCTGTGGTGGAGGCTTGGTTCCCAGCAGAGTGGTATGTATTGGAAGGTGATGTTGAGCCTAGTGGGAGGTCCTTATCATTGGAGGCATTGCCCTAGGAAGTAAAGACTGATCTGGAACAAGTAAGTGCTCAAGAAGGTCAAGTTATTATAAAAGCCTGAGTCTCATCCTTGGGTCTCTCTGCCTCACCATGCAATTTCTTTCTCCTGCAGTCTGTCATGGGCCCTCACAGCAGCTAGCACTATGCTATTTGGACTTTAAACTGCTACAACTGAGATAAATAAACCTCCTTTTTCTTTATACATAACCTGCCGTATTCTGTTACAGTAGCAAAAACTGCCTAGTACAGAGGTATTCACTGTATTTGAAAATTGTCATAAGAAAGTCTTAGGAAGGGGGGTGGGAAAACAAGTACTTTTAGTTACTCCATATTTAATTTTTTTCAATTACATTATTAGAGGAAAAATGAAATGAAGGTTTTCTTTTTTGTTTGCTTGTTTTTGTTTGGACAGGGTCTCTCTGTAGCCCAGGCTGCAGAGCTCAAACTTGCTTAAACTTGATATCCTTTTGCCTTCTCTGGAATTACAGACATGTGCCACTATACCCAGCTAATTCTTTTAAAAGTCATCTCAACTTATCTTCACAAATGGAGTCATAATACTGTTGACTTACAACCTCTTCATGTTTGAAATTCAAATTAGGCCATGCTTAAATAATTGAGAATGTGTTTATAAAGATTAAGTTGTGTAAAGATGATCATATCATTGCAATAGGACGTTGGTTATGTAAATTATGGTATATAATCAGTGAAGTACTGGGCACACATTAAAGTACAGAGTATAGCAACAAATCCATTGGTAAAAAGATATTTATATTTTTATTTTCACTAGGAAATTAAGAAATTATGAATATAGTGTGTATTTCTACCTCTGAATTAGAAGATTATACTTTTATAATTTCCCCAAAATAATCCCTAATGTTTTTTATTTAATTTACTAATGTAAGAAAGAAGGAAAACATAAAAAAGTACCAGTGGGACAGGCTATAAGAAAGGGGGTCAGAGGATGAATATGGTGAAATATTCTGTACATGTGTATGTAAGTAGAAAAGTGAGATCTGTTGAAACTATGTGAGTAATGGGGGAAGGGGGCAAAGGAAAATGATGAACGAAGTGAATTCAACTATGACACATTGTAAGAAATTTTGTGAATATCACAATGTACCCCCAGTACAACAATAATAAAGTATAAAAAAAAAAAAGAATGCACTTTATATGTACAAACAACTATGGTCATTCACCCTTCTGCCACTAGTGGCTTTCAAAAGGGAAGTTAAAATGTTTTTCTGTTACTGGGCCTAAGGCATTCATTTTTGGAATAATCTCTAATTGCATTTACATTTCTGTGTCTGACTCATACAAGGAAGTTTCAAAGCAGGAAAGAGAAAATCCAATTTCTTTCTAAATATAGTAACCATTGATACAACTCACCTAATGTGACTTTTATGTTCTAATGTTCCCAAGTATCCTATCCAGAAGAATTCAGAATTCGAGGATGTGCCAGTTCAATAATAAAAATGTTATTTATTGTAGATCTTTTTATAAGGAGAAGTAAGTAAAGTGTAGCTGTTCTTTTTTCTATGTCTCTAAGAGGGACACAGTGATTGTTACTGTTCCTGTTTTTCATCCAACTAAGATGTAGTCTAGTACTTTGTTTATGACTCTGAACTGATCATTCAGTTATTGTTTCACTCTTTAGAAAACCTTTTTTTCATTGAAATAAAACTTGGATATGAATAAAAGTAAAGTAAGGAAAATAAGAGTTAATTTCTGGGTTCCAATCTTCTAGTCCTTTCATAGGTAATTATATGTGTGTGTGAACATGCATGTGTGTACATGTGTATATGTACATATATTGACTGTTCCATTTCAATAATCTTATTTTAGCTGTGTCTATTTGGTACCTCCTAATATATATTGTTCTCTTCACCTATTGTCTTTTGCAGGTAAAATGTCCAGTGATCGAGCATTGAGAAAGCAACAACAGTTAAACAATCTTGTTTATGTGGTGATAAACCAGGCCAAACCTCATGACAGAATTGTGGATTTCTGCAGTGGTGGGGTATTATATATCTTCTTTTATCTTTTTTAGCCTTCCCAAGACTTTGTATGTTACAAAGTCTTTGTGACTTTTGTATATTACACTAAAGTCATGTTTTTATTTGGAAAGAGTGTTGTCTTAGAATAAGCAATAGCCATGGGAACCAAAGGTAACTTCTTTTACTTTTTCAGGGCCATGTTGGAATTGTTCTTGCTCACATGCTGCCATTATGCCAGGTAAAGTATGAGTCATAGATACAAGGAAACATTTTAGCAAACACAATTCTGCTAGCCAAGTCTGGCCTGTCCTTACTCTTGGAGTACTCATTTACTCACCCAAGTCACATATGTAGCACCGGCATGTTCTTTTTCCTTTGAAGTAAACTTCTAAGATTCAGAATCTTAAGGGCAAAACAAGTAACATAGGACTACAATATTTTGTATTGCTAATAGTTTTACATATCAGATTTTAGTAACTATATGCTTTAAAGTAAATGTATCATGATTTATTCAATCATTGCCACTGTTAGTAGGATGTGTTATTTTTAGTCTTCTGCCATATTAAATCGACTCTTTGCAGTTATCTTTCAACATATATGTATTTGGGAGAAAAGTCTTTTTTAGTACAAATTCAACTGGGGCGGAGTCTTTGTGAATTGTCTGGGTGGTGTGAACTAATTACAGAAAATATTTTCAGAGGAAAAAACTGGAAGAATGAGTGGCTGGTCAGAATAACACATAATAATTGGAGATGGGGATGTCCTCTTAGAAAATAAAGAGCAAAATAAAAGGAATTCTAAGAGAAGAGGCAAGTGTCTGTTTCATTATTAAGGAAAGCAACAATTTCATAATTGAGAAAAAGGAGTAGAATCCTGGAGAAGCAGAGTCAGGGATGTTGTGTCATTTTTTCCCTTCCTAATTGTTCTCCTGGAACCTGAGATAGGTTGAAACTGAAAGGAGTTTGGCTACAATAAAAGCTGGAAAACTTTTTTTTACTAAGTATATTCTAATGTGACTTTTATACAAAGTGATCCAGGATTTTTCTAGGAAGCATAAGGAATGATAACAGTGAGAATGTCTTACTTCCACCCATGACCACTGCTGGAGGTGCTTGTTTTCCTTGTCTTCTGCCTCATCCTTCCGAGCCTATACTACTCATTACAACTGGTGGGGCCTTCGTATCAGACAAGCATGATCTGGCTGGGCATGGTGGCTCATGCCTGTAATCCCAGCTACGAGGAGGCATAAGTAAGAAAGATGGCAGTCCAAGGCCAGACTAGGCAAAAAGCATGAAACCCACCTGAAAAGATAACTAAAAGGGCTGGGTACCAGTGGCTCAGGCCTATAATCCTAGCTACTCAGGAGACAGAGATCAAGAGGATCGTGGTTCAAAGCCAGCCCAGGCAAAAATGTGTAAGACCCTATCTCGGAAATACTCAACATGAAAAAGGGCTGGTTAAGTGGCTCAAGGTGAAGGCCCTGAGTTTAAGCCCCAGTACCACAAAAAAAAAAAAAAAGGTGGAGGGTGATGGGCTGGAGGTATGGCTCATGTTGCATGGTCTTACCTCTCCAGTTTCATCTTCACCCTGTACACCTGTCCCCAATCCCCATTATCACCATCACACTCACTATGCCCGCCTCTACCACTTTTCTTAGATTCTTCAGATACATCGTGCTTTCACCTTGGGTCTTTGTACATGTTTCTCTCTACCTAAAACACTCTTCATTCTGCTACCTAATTTCTGTTTGTTTTTCACTCTTCAATTAACATGTTACTTCCCTATCCATGAAAGCCTTCCCTAGTCACCAAGTCTAGAGCTCCCATTATGCACTGTTTGTTTTTCATCAAGCACTTCTCATGTTGTGTCATTAGTGCTTATTTCACATGTATTGCTATACCCTGAGTTTCAAGTGTTCCTTGTATATTTTATACCAGATCAGTTGGCATACTTCTTGACACAGGATAGAGGATCAATATAATATGTTCTACAATAGTGAGGCTATGAAATACAGTGATAATGATTTTCCCTAATGTCTGAGTTATGTTACTGAATATAATATTTTTCATCTGGGCAAATACAGGTTATATTAATAGAAAATAAAGAATTATCATTAATCCGTGCTAAGAAGAGAAGTGACGAATTGGGTTTAAGCAACATTTGGTTCATTCAAGCAAATATGGAGTATTTTACAGGAATGTTTAATATTGGGGTAAGTAATCAGGTGATTTCAGTTTTTTCAATTTGCTGAATGAGAAAATGTGTATAGAATAAATAAAGGAGATAATTTTATGTTCATTGCTAAACAAAGAAATTTATAGCTTTCTATACTTTATAATGTAAATCATACTGATTACTATTATTTAAATCAATAACTTTCCATACTTTATCTGTAAAGTATATCATAGTGGTTAATATTAGTTTATTCATAGGACTTTATATGATACAGATAACATTTATTCCTTCACTAGATGAGAACTTCTATTTCCTTCCCTTGAAAATCCTCAGTACTGAAAACAGTGTTTGGCACATAGAAAATAATTTTGTTTAGAAGGGTCATTGAGATGTTGTCAGTAGACAAAGAAGCCTAAACACATCAGTGACTCTAACTCTCGTGTTGAGTAGATTTCAGTAAAAAAGTGTGGCTAGAGAATAAATCAGAATAACTGGGTATTGGAAATGCAGGCATCCATGATTTCATGTTATTTCAAATAAGGGCTTAGTTGGCATTTATCTTTGCTTGATAAATCCTTTGCTTTTTTTTTCTTTAGATGTAAAAATTAATGATGTAAACAAGATTCTAGGGAGAGAATTTAAAAACCAGAACCAACTACCTTTAAGAAATATTTTAAAAATCACATGTATCAGAACTGAAATACTAATTATTAGCCTTATCTCCATTGCAACAACAACTTATATCAGACAAAAATGAATAGATTTACTAACTTTGTTAACCCAGTTTGACTTGAAATAATCAAAGTGAACAAATGAGAATATTTTTAGATCTTTTTTGCAGCAAGGGCTTCCAATACCCCTCCTTCCTTCTTTTAAGTTTCTGATTTACATTATGTTATTTTCTTACAATTAAAAAGGTCTAATAAGCATATTAGATGAGGTTTGAATTGATTTGTTAATAACATGAAAAATTAGTTAATAGGGTAAACAGAGAAATAAAATTATATAAACATGATTAAAAGCCTAGATTTTAACATTGGGCACCTGTGCTAATGTCGCAACTTGACATTTAATAATGTTATGTTCTTGGGACACCTATTTAAACTATTACTCCTCAGTTTTCCCATCTATAAAGTGAACGTGAAATATTTGCTGATAGGATGGAGATTGATACAATGTATATGAAACACTTAGTTGACCTGACACTCAATAAATTGAACCTTTCATTTTGTTGCAGGGTGATCTGACCCTTGTGAAAACTGCATTAAAAAGTAATCAGAGTAAATTATATTAATAGGTTTTTTAAAAGGTGGCTGTTCCTATATGCTATGTAATGATATTTCTGTTTATTATTTTTTAACATTTTTTAAATATACCACATTTAATGTTATGTGCACGAGCATATAAGCAGTAAATACAGAAATAAATATGTACATTATATTTTTAAAATTCTGAATATATAAGTGCATGTTTTCATATGGTATATAAGATATATACAGATATATGTACATACTTGACTTATAATAGGTTTATATCCTTATAAATTCATAGCACATTGAAGCTATCATAGTAGAACCTGCACTTAATACATAACCTCCTGAATGCATAGCTTAGCAGCACAGGACACTGTAAAGAATTGGTTGTTTACCCTGTGATTGTGTGCTGAGAGCTGTGGCCTACTGCTGCTGTTAGCACTGCAAATGAGTATCAAAAAGCACATCACTAACCCAGGAAAAGCTCACAATTCTAACTTTGAAGAATTATGGTGCCTTCATACCATTGCAAAATGTAAAAAGTCACAAATTGAAATTTTGTTAGTCAAGGATTGTCTGTATTATTTCCTTCAAACAAGTTTTTGATTTTTATAGAGATTCCTTCTCATTGGTGTATTCTGATTTTGATTACAATGATTAATAATATCATAAGGAAAATACAGGTCTTTTCAACAGTAAGAAACTGCCAAGTATTGTGGTTCACACCTATAATCCCAGCACTTGAGAGGTTGAGGCAGAAGGATTGTGAGTGCCAGGTCAGCCTAGTCTACACAGCAAGACCATGTAAAAAAACAAACAAATGAAAAAGTAAGAAACATAGAAAAAGGTTTTTAGGGGCTTGGAGTATGGCCGAAGTGATAGTGCTTGCTCAGTATGCTCAAGGCCCTAAGTTTAATTCATAATACCACCCAAAAGGGTTTTTTGTGGTTTTGTTTTGTTTTTCTTTGGTTATTTTTGAGGTACTCTCACTTTATGTCTGGGTTGATTGGGCTGCAGTCCTCCTTTTGTGCTTCCCTGTTGGGGAAGCTAGGATTATCAGCACACACTACTGTGCCCAGCCAGTTGAGATGGGGGGTCTCACTAACTTTTTACCCAGGCTAACCTTGAACCATGACCCTCCTGATCTCTGCTTCCTTAGTAGCTAGGACTATAAGTATAATTCACTTTGCCTGACTGGATTTTAGGTTTTTTTAAAGTTTCAATATTCTTAGCTACATGATGCTGATTTGAGTAAGTATTGATTACCATCTTTGTAGGATGCTTTTCAAAAAAATAATTTGTAAAAGTGTCTTTCCTCAGGTTAATTTTAAGAGATGTCTATTTTGGACTTCTTTCTAGTGTAGGATAGTCTCATTATTATTAAAATTTATATGATTTAAGCTAACATAGTTTATAATGTATATTAATACTCATGTTCAAACAGTAATGCAAATACCTTGTTCCCAAACAATATTACAGAGAGTGTAAAAATATACACTTTGCAATAAAAAACAAAACTGTGTCAAAACTAACCAACTTGCCCACCAGAAGGTTATATAGTTTATAGTTTCAACAGTAACAGTCATCTAAGCCAGGTGGTAAGGTACTGATTTCTAACAGTATTGGTGAATATTTTTCACTTGTCATTGTTGTCAAGATCTCAAAACTTTTATTTTCCAGTTACTTGTTTTTGCTTTTTTCTATTTTACCCATAACATAATTTTGTGGTTGTTTATGATTTATCAGTACTGAGTGCATAATTACAAGCTCATTTCTGGTTATGTCTGTCGTGTACAATTAAAAGAAGCACATGCAATTATAGATGGTAATTAAGCAATACTTTTGATGAGTAATTATATAATCCTTCTTTTAAAAGATAAGGAACTTCATCCTTCCTATTATTGCTTATACTCTCTCTACAACAAAATTAGAAATAAGGGCAAAATAGTTTCTGCTGGGTATTGAGGGGGGGGAGCGGGAGGGGGTGGAGTGGGTGGTAAGGGAGGGGGTGGGGGCAGGGGGGAGAAATGAACCAAGCCTTGTATGCACATATGAATAATAAAAGAAAAATGAAAAAAAAAAAAAGATAAGGAACTTCAGAAGTTATGTTCTGCAAACACAATTTTTAAAAACCACCAAAGCAAAATAGATGATTTCCAAGGTGAAATGGCAAATAGAAGTATTTCAACCCCTTTTCTCTTCAAGAAATATCAGACCTCCAAATAACAAGAAAATAACTGGAAAAGTCAGATTTTATCCTTGATGAAACTGTATTCAAGATTCTATAACTTGAATCACAGAATGAAATATGAAGGTGGAAAGCAGATTGAAGAAAAATGGAATTTAGTGAATAGATAGGAGGAAGATCAAACTTAAATGGGGGTAGAGCAGGAAAGAAGATAGTCAAAAAGCCAATCACTTCAGGATAACAGAAACATCAGAGGAAGGGAAGAAGGAGGAACTAAAATCATATTTATTTAAAAATATTATTTGGGGACCTGGATTCCTACCTCCATCTTGTGTATACAAGTAAGTATGTCTTCCAACTCCTGTAAGAGACAGGTTAATTAACACAGGTTAATTTCTGTGAATAAATCAAATTGGAGAGGCTCCAAGTGTAGGGATGTAATGCAGCCAGGAGGACAGTGATGCACCACACTAAAAACAAGAACTGGGATCCAAGATGGTGACTAGAGGGAGGAAACAGCATGAGTTCTGTAAATCAAAAATCTTGCTGAGACCCTAGAGCCACACTTGGCAGGAAAAACCCACAAAGAAGAAGCAAAACTCTGACACCAGCCCATACAAAGCTTCTCCACACCACGTTACACTGAAAAAACCCGAGGGCTCCTACGCCACCAGACACCAGCTCCAAACCTGCTTGGGAGACGCAGACCAAAAGGTGAGCAAATAAGTAGCACACGGTACTCCCATGGCCACCCCTGGAATAAACCAGCATAGTCCCCTGGACAGACTGACCCCCACCCCTCAAAAAAAAAAACCAAAACACTGAATAATAAACAAGGAACTGAAAAGGACATGCAGCAGAGAGGGCGGGATGCGTTCAACACACTGGAGAAGGGGTGAGGATCAAGGAGCTGCTCTCCATGTAAACTTTCAGTAAACAAAGCCTGCAAAAGTAGCTGACTGGCAACACTCTCCACCGGAGAAGGGGGGGACAGGCAGCTCACTGCATGAACTATCAGTAAATAAAGCCTGCAAAAGTAGCTGGCTGACAGTAGGCGGGTGATGCACTTCTGCCTGAAATAGGGCAGAGAGCGGTTCACAAAGCTGTCTCCTGACCCATCCACCTGGCGAGACTACAACAGAGCTACTGCTTAAATACCAGCGCCAGGACTGAATGCTGAAGGAGTAACACCAGAACTACTAAGACTGAAACTTCATTGTTCCTAAACCAGAAATATTTTTTTCTTCTTTCTTCTTTCTCTTTCTCTCTAAGTGCTTGTCTTCTTCACTGTTGGTTAGTACACCATCTCTCCCTGTTTATTTGTTTGGTTCTCTATTTTTTTCTTTCTTTTTCTTCATTTCATTATTTTTACTATTGTAAGTTAGCTAATACTAAATTACACACAGAACAAGGACAGAAACAGCACCAAGAGGAATGATGGAATGACAAAAAAGGGATGGAAACCATTCTCGCCCCCAAAATAAATTAGTACAGGATTCAGAGAGAAATGAAAAAATGGATACCCAGTTCCAGACCCCAACAAAACAAAGACAGACAATCCCAGGGAACCCAACGAAGCCCACAAGAACATCCTGA